CAATGTTTTCAGCTTCTTATACTGTATTAAATTCATACGAATTATAATATACGACAAGTTTTCTTTACTATCATTTATTTGAAGGAATTTGTTTTGGCCGTCGTCGTCGTGTTGCCGTCCTGCATGCTTAAGCTCGCTATTGTCGTGGTTTAGAGGTGGTGGTGAAAATGCGTCACATCACCAACAAGCTGATCAACGCATTTTCACCACCCCCTCTAAACCACGACATCGCTCCTGACGACAACAACATTGAAAACGAGAATACGCATCCAAAACCGCCCACAATCTGGATTCACCTTCCGTTCATTGGCAAGAGAGGAACTTCCCTTATACGCTCGTGTACAAACCTGAAATATCCCGACTATTGATAGCCCGTCCCAATTTTATCACGATCTATATGACACGACTAGTACCAACACCTATCTGAGCCAAAAAGACCGAACGGATAAAGAACTCCAAAGTAGTGTTGTATACAAAGTTAGCTGTCCTGGCTGTCAATTGTCCTACATCGGAAAAACTGACTGCTGCCTCAAAACAAGGATTAAAGAGCACTCCTCCGACAAAAACTCAGAAGTTCACAAACATATGTCATGTGAACATTTTCAATACTTCCAGACCCGACTTAACCTACCTAACACACTACTAGACCAGTTTGATCCACATACCACAGAAGCCATTATATACTAAAACTGTACTATTATAGATAAATCTAGACATTGGTCATTATTGTTATATATTAAGGAGCCTTTACATATACATCGCCAAAAACCGGAACGTACTTAATCACGGAACTAAATCCTCCAAGACTAAGGAACTTGTGATATTTAATTAGCGCGTAATTTGATCCGCTTAACTTGTAAATATATATCTTAGTATTTCCAACAGCGTCATTCCTGATGACTGAAACCTAGTCGAAACGTTGATTAAAATGTTAACTATTTTCGGAGTGTCTATTGTTTTGTTCTTTTTAAAATTACTCAATGGCAACCGAAGTTTCAATCAATCTTATCTGTTTTCTTCAATTTCCTGTTATATATAGAGTGCACTCGGAGACTGGATTTACCTCCGCTAGCAAATTGACTGTTATGACTTATGTGTCACGCATAAATTATACAATATGTCAAAAGGTAATCCGGGAAAAGAAAAATCAAAGTTAAATGAAGATATTATACTACAACTCACAAGTATATATGGTTGTAACATAGCCATATATATTCAACATCATGCACAGTAAATTAATATATGTCCAAACGTATCCCCAAATTACATGACCAGAGCAGCCTGAAAAGCTAGGCAAAAATCCGAATATAGGTACACTGGGAAAAAGGTGAAATTCATACTATAGAATTTGCCAGAAGTGACATAGTCCAGAATAAATTAGGTTTGTCAAGTCGCAAATTAGAGCTTGTATATATATATATATATATATATATATATATATATATATATATATATATATATATATATATATATATATATATATATATATATATATATATATATTGCTCTGCTGAAACCAAATCTGAAAAAGTCTAGCTTGGACGCAGTATTTGAGAACTTTAGGCCTGTGAGCAATCTGTCATTTCTTTCTAAGATCACTGAAAAGGCAGCCGCCAACCAATTGCTGAACCATTGTGAAAAACATGCACCTCTCCCTATCTGTCAATCTGGCTTCAGGAAATATCATTCGACAGAGACGGCTCTGCTAAAGGTGCAAAGCGATATTCTTCTGAGTATGGACAGGCAGGAAGTGTGTTTTCTTGTACTCTTGGACTTAAGCTCAGCGTTCGATACAATTGATCATAAAACTATCATTGACGTATTGGAGTATCAATTTGGAGTGACGGATAGGGCTCTTGAATGGATAAAATCATATCTATTGAACAGGAAACAGAAAGTTGATCTGGATAACAATTTTTCTGAAGACTGCGATGTTAAGTACGGAGTGCCTCAAGGGAGTTGTCTTGGCCCCATACTTTTTCTGCTTTATGTATCCCAACTATATGACATTATTGACAGGCACTTACCCTCTTCTCATGGTTATGCTGATGACACGCAACTTTATGTATCCTTTCGCCCAGATTGTGAAGATAATTCAGAAAGTACCCTAGCCATACTGGAAGATTGTATTTCTGATGTTCGTACTTGGCTGTTGTCTCATAAATTAATGTTCAAATATTCGAAAACGGAATTTCTTGTAATTGGTACACCACAACAACTTTTGAAAATAAACATTGAATCCGTTAACGTTGGTGGGGTCCAAATTAAGCCGGTTGACAGTGTTCGAAACTTGGGATCTTGGTTTGACAAGCATATGTCAATGTCAGTTCATGTAGGCAAGATATGCAGTAAAGCATTCAGAGGACTTTATAAAATACGACAAATTAGAAAATTTTTATCTACTAATACAACGAAAACTTTGATACATGCTTTCGTGACATTACACGTGCACTATAATTGTAATGCTCTGTTGGCTGGCATACCTCAGTATCAAGTCCAGCGAATTCAGAGAGTTCTTAATGCCGCTGCTAGACTAATCTACCACAGTCCAAGATTTTCTCACATCACCCCAGTTTTGAGATCACTTCACTGGCTACCGGTAAAATTCCGGGTGGAATTCAAAATTGCTTTACTGGTTTACAAGGCTCTTAATAACATTGCCCCTATCTATACCTCTGAAATGCTTATCCCAAAACAATCAAGTGATCGCTGGACATTACGATCGGATGGTCAAGGTCTATTATACATCCCGAAAACAAACTGTAAGACTCTAGGAGATCGGGCTTTCGCACATGCTGCTCCACAATTATGGAATTCTCTGCCTCTGGATGTCAGGAACTGTGAAAACATTTCTGTGTTTAAGAAACGCTTGAAAACATTTCTTTTCAATAAAGCTTATAACCCTTTATAGGTTGAGACCATATTGGATTCTTATTATAGATACATACATTTGTGTATATTCTAATTGTATACAATACCATGTTTTATATAGCATATTTAATTCTTAATATATTTAGATTTTTATAATGTACAGCGCTTCGAGTATATAATATAACATATGCGCTTTATTTAAATGAATAAATTATTTATTATTATTATTATTATTACGGTAACCACTGAGTATTTTAATAAAATATAGAACAACAGTAACTCCGAAAATAAACATTTTTATATTCTAGCTTTCGACTAAGGTTCAGTCATCATCTTAGAGTTACCGTTGTTTTATATTTTACTACAGAATATAATTTTTTCATATTGCCAGTTTAATGAATTTATTTATTTATTGACTTTGCCCAATAATATTTATTTATTTACATGAAATTAAATACTAATATTAAGGAAGAAGAGGACTAGGAGTCTATTTGAAGCCATTTGGTTTTTTTGCTTAGACCCCTAGAAATATATTTACAATTTGTTTTTTAATTAATTAAGTAAACCAGTTCAAGGTCAAATTATTATATTCTAAGAGTAGTGAATTTTGCGAATATATACAGTATATTATTATAATAATACTATTGCAATTTGATATTCATAGTAATCAATTAATCATAGAAATAAGCATGCATGTAATGATTTGTTGTCCACTATAGTTTGATAGAATTTGTAAACATCCGGTAGTTAATTAGATATGAAGAAAGTGTTTCTTTACCTCTCGTTTGAAAACGAAATGTGATTTTATTTGTTTGAAGTCTTTCGCAAGACCGTTCCAAAGACTCGTGAAGGAGCGATGCATTTCTAGTATTGTGATGATGTATCTCGTTGTTGGATACAAAATAATTAACAAAATATTTCTGGTAAATTTTGTACCTTGTAGTACTAAACATAAATAAAATAATTAAATACTCATTTATTCTGTAGATGTTGAGTATCTTGAATCATTCCCAAAACACTTTCATTCTTTAATATCATGCACATACAGTATGTACTATTTACAACATGAGAGGCCGTGTTGTATCCGATACAACACGCACGCGAATGTTGTAAATGGCTTAAAAAACGACTCAACTTATGAGTTCATTGGCGAAGAAATTTTAAAAATAAACGTTGTCAAAGTCGAGAAAATCAAAGTTAAAGTTTATGTAAATCAACATGAATCTGTATCACATATACAGACTCCTTCACGCCCATGATTTCTTTTGTGTTTTCTTCATGAATTATTAATGAGTTTTTTAAATGTCTATATACGAGTCCCCACTATCAGGCGGCCAATATTAATCAGCCACTGAAAAGGGATACTTGCGAAAGGCGGCTAGTTGTTGCATCACTTGTACAGCAACACCGGAGTGCGGATGTATAGACATATATGTTGTTCAAAATGGGAGAATATAATTCTTTCAAATTTTCAGGTTAATGCATCATTTCCGAAATATTTTGTTTTTTTATAATAATATCATGCACATATATTGTAGTGTATTAAACAAGTTGACGTATAATTATGTGCATATATTATATATTGTTATGTATATACAGGGTGTCCAAAAAAACCCAAATGCATTGAAATTAACGCATTGTTAGAATTGGAATGCCTCCGCACTCTGCTTGACCCACACGTGCACCAAAGCCTGACTTAAGTAAATTTTATGCATAAAGGAACCGTTTAAGAAGCTGTTTTAATAATATTCCCAAGAGCAGGAAATCGTGTGCTATACAAAGATATTTTAATTCCTTTATCGCCTCTTACGCATCTTTGCATTCAAATTCAAAGGGCATTCAAATTTAAACAATGCGTTAATTTCAATCCTTTTGGGGTTTTTTTGGACACCCTGTATATAACCTGCCCATTACACGCCTGACAAAAATGCATGCCAAAGCGCTAACGTGCTTCAATTTCTTTAATTTTCATCCTGTTTCTACAAAATTTCGCATAGACATAGAACATGTGATTCTTAGAAATCGTATGTTTTTTGTGTTTCGAATTGCTACATTTTTGGCGGGAAAATGACGTTACAAACTTGCTGCTAAAAAATTAACAGTTAGCTATTGTTAATTTTATGCACTTATTCGGTAGTCGACATTGAGAGAGTCTTAAAACTGAAGTCAGGTTCGAAATACAACCATTCCTTGCGAAGATATCATGACTCAAATTTCCAAAAATCGGCCATTTTCTTCTATTTTTAGTAACAAAATGGCCGATTTTTGGACATTTGTTCCGGTATATCTTCGCGAGAAATAGTCGTATTTTGAAACGGAGTTCAGTTTTCTGACTCTCTCAATATCGTCTAACGAATAAGTGCATAAAATTAGCAATAGCTAACTGTTAATTTTTTAGCAGCAAGTTTGTGACGTCATTTTCCCGCCAAAAATGTAACAATTCGAAAAACGAAAAACATACGATTTGTAAGAATGACATGTTCTATTGTAGAAACAGGATGAAAATTAAAGAAATTGAAGCACGTTAACACTTTGGCATGCATTTTTGTCAGGCGTGTTAATTAAGTAAATACAGTTGGTATAATAATCTAGATCTTGTTCAGAGTTCTCGTCTTGTTTTGGATCTTACATTTGGCGAGAAGGATAGAAAAATCTTGAGAATATGGCAGAAGGAACGCTTCCTTATCTACAACAATTTAATTTTCACGAAGACCCTGCTTCAACGGGTGTTCGATGGGCAAAGTGGCTTAAACTGGCTTTGATAATTTTTTAATTGCCTTGGATATTACAGACAAGAAAACACAGCGGGCTTTGTTGTTTCACTACGCGGGTTCTGAAGTTGCAGTCTTGCAGACATATATTTGATACCTTCCCTAAAAAAGATAAAGGAAAAGACGTTGATTATTCTAGAGCAGAAGAACTCTTATCCGAATATTTTCTACGGAAGAAATATATAGAATATGAAACTCATGTATTTCGTCAAGCGAAACAAGTGACCGCCGAGACAATTGACAGATTTCACACTCGTTTGAGAAAATTGGTAAAAAACTGCGAGTTTACAGATGATGACCGCGAGATAAAAACTCAAATAATTCAAGGGTCTTTGTCCCAAAGACTACGACGGCGAGTATTACGGGAAACCATGACTCTTGTACAACTTCTCGATAATGGACGGTCGTTTGAAACCTCAGAGACACAAGCGCGTGGGATGGCGAAAAATTACAATCAGAGGCAGAGTATGTAATTAAAACTATGCATCGCCAACTACAAAATACGAAAGCCTCGAAAGTAAACAAACGATGTTATCGTTGTAACGGAAATTATCCACATGTTGGTCCATGTCCTGCCAAAGGAAAAGCATGTAACATTTGCGGTAAACAAAATCATTTCGCAGCAGTTTGTCGTTCGAAACAGCAAGGAAAGCGTGACGATTTCACAAAAAACGGTAAGAACAAAGACCAGGATTTTAGCAATCAAAAGCAAAAGGCGTGGAGACGTTCGGTGAATCAAGTGGAAGTAAGAGATCAAGAACAAGTAACGAGCAGTGATGAAGAGTATGTTTTCACGACTTCGGGGGCGAAACATAATGAACTAGAAGTTCATCCAACCGTGACGGTAACGATTGGCAAAGAGAATGTAGATTTCATTGTAAACACTGGTGCAACAGTTAATTTAATGGAAGAATCTGACTATCTGCGACTTAAAGGTGTCACCCTGCAAAAGTCATCAACAAAAATATTCTCGTATGACAGTGATGTCCCTCTGAAGATTCTTGGTAAGTTTGAAACTGTTGTAGAAACAAGCGAAAAAATTATCTGCGCAGAATTCTACATAGTTAAGAAAAATACTAAAGCGGGTGGATCTTTAAAACTGTGGCAATTGATACACCAGGGGGAAATCTTAGTTTTTTAGATAAAGAGCAGAGCCCAGCAAATAACTTTAAAACCAAACATAATAAAAGTAAAAATTTAATTAGCTAACGTTTCGTTGCTTACAATACAACATCTTCAGAGCAATCCGAATGAATTTACAGGGTATGGTATATATGTTTACAAAATAATGGTTTAGTATTACAAAATGAATAGAAAGAAAGGAAAACAACTTGTTAATAAGTAAAAATTAATGTTAAGTGCATGTTTAGTATAGTTAAGGTTAATATACATAACTAAAATAACTCAAGAGAGGTAGATCTAATATGAGCATTAAGGACAGGGTTAAGTTGAGAAATTAATAGGCTTTCACGGATAAGAAGATCCCACTCAGAAGTGCCTGATGATAGAATTTTGAAATCAGAAGCGGAGACTGGGTGTTTGTGCATGTGTTTGTGAGCGAGGATACTAGACATGGATGAGATAGAGCGTTCTTTTCTTTTCTTTTTTTTTTGGGTGGATCTTTAATGTGTTACAAAACAGCCCATGAACTAGGAGTAGTTACAGTGGTGAACAAAGTGCATGATGCAGACTCCGCTGTCCCACCACCATTTGTGAACAAATACAAAGACGTTTTTAGCGGAATTGGGAAAATGAGAAACTACCAAGAAAAGTTACATATTGACAAACAGTTAAACCAGTCGCCCAACCCCATAGAAGTATACCATTTCATGTATGTAAACAAGTTGAATCAAAACTTAAGGAAATGGAAGATGCAGATATTATAGAAAGGTTAGAAGGTCCCAAACCTTTGGTTTCCAATTGTAGTCGTTCCCAAACCGCATAATCCACAAGAAGTACGTATTTGTGTGGACATGAGGCAATCAAATAAAGCAATAGGTCGAGAACGACATACCTCTCAGACAATCGATGATATAATTGCTGAATTAGGACAAGCTAAAGTGTTCTCAAAATAGACCTGAATCAGGGATATCATCAATTAGAGTTTTCACCAGAATCTCGCTATATTACAACATTTAGTACCCATGTTGGTCTAAGGCGTTATAAACGACTAAATTGTGGCCTTAGTACTGCTGCCGAAATATTTCAAGAAGCAATACGAAGTGCAATTGAGGGCGTTCCTGGGTCGTTGAACATTAGCGATGATATAATCGTGTATGGTTCAACGCAGGATGAACATGATAAACACCTGGAAAGCGTCTTAAAGCGTTTGCGTCAGAATAATTTAACACTTAATAAGTCGAAGTGTGAATTCAACAAGTCTAGCTTATGTATTTTGGTTATACCTTTTCTGTGTGGTGTCTCACCTGACCTTAAGAAAGTAGATGCAATTCGCAATGTTGAAGTTCCCAAATCAGAAAAGGAAGTCAGAAGTCTTCTAGGATTAGTTAACTATTGCGGACGTTTTATTTCCGACCTGACTGACTTAGCAAAACCTCTCTGAGATCTTACGAAGCAAGATGCCAAATGGCACTGGAAGGAAGAACATCAGAAGTCCCTAAGTGAAATTCAGCGAGCATTGTCTAGTCAAACAACGCTCACTTATTTCCAACCGTCGTTAGACACTGAGCTACTAGTAGATGCAAGTCCAATTGGAATCGGTGCAATTCTGACCCAAAAAGAGAATTCAGCCAACTCCACAACTCGTGTTATCTACTATGCCAGTCGAACACTTTCGGACGTGGAAAAGCGATATTCGCAAATAGAAAGAGAAGCATTGGCAATTACATGGGGATGCGAGAAATATCACCTCTATTTGTATGGAGAACCGTTTTCTGTCATCACGGATCACAAGCTATTGGTAACGATGTTCAATGATCCAGCCCATCAATCACCACAGAGAATTAAACGCTGGACATTAAATTTACAGCCGTATGAATTTACTGTTGAATACAAGCCTGGTGAAAACAACCCTGCTGATTACCTTTCGCGTCATCCTGATAGAACAAACAAACAAACCAGAAGAGAAGAGAAAGTGGCAGAGGAGTATGTCAACTACATATTCACGAATGCGGTTCCAAAAGCCTTGACGCAAGAAGAAATAATTTAATGATTACCACGAAAGAAGATGCGACGCTTCAAGCTGTAATTTCTGCACTAAAGTCTGGTCAATGGCATAACATACAGTCTGTTGAAACTGCATGTATTGATATGGATACTTTCAATGCCTTAGCTCGTATCAAAACAGATCTTACAACTACCAACGCTGGCAATACCCTATTGAGAGGAACACGTATCGTCATTCCACAGTGCCTGCAACGTCAAGTGATCAATTTAGCGCACGAAAGACATCAAGGGATAATAAAGACAAAGAAATTGTTGCGAGAAAAAGTGTGGTTTCCTGATATTGACAAACTTGTCGGAGAATGTATTGCAAATTGTATACCGTGCCAAGCGTCAACTCAAATCAAGATGTGCGAACCGTTGCTGATGACAAATCTTCCAGAAGGTCCTTGGCAAAATATATCTGTGGACTTTTGCGGCCAGTTACCTTTTTGGTGATTACTTGCTGGTGGCAATGGACGATTATTCTCGGTATCCTGAAGTGGAAATACTAAAGTCAACGTCTTCAAAGAGTACAATTCCAAAGATAGACTTATTATTTTCTGCGTTTGGAATACCCAAACAAGTTAAAACAAACAATGGTCCTCTTTTTAATAGTAGTGACTTTGAAAAGTTTGCAAACCATCTTGGATTCTCACATAGAAAGACAAATCTGTACTGGCCACAAGCTAACGGGAAGTAGAAAGATTTATGCCTATATTGGAAAAGGCAATACAGACAACTCAGATTGAAGGAAAGCCTTGGAAGGAGCAATTGTGTACATTTCTTCGAAATTATCGTGCTACCCCTCATTCTACCACCTATACACCGCCATTTGATGCTATGTTTCAACGACCAATGAAAACTAAATTACAGAGGTACCCAGCAACGTGGAAACAGCCGAGTTGAAATCCAATCAATCGCAGAAAACTGATGACTTTCCCTAACGAGTTGAGACAGCAAAAAACGAAATGAAATCGTACACTGATTGACAAAGACGTTCCAAATCATCAAAGATTGAGGAAGGAAATTCTGTCTTGGTACGAAATAAAAAAAGAGGCAAGCTGCAAACACCATTTCAACCAACACCATATGAAGTAATAAAAAAGAAAGGTTCGATGATAACTGCCCAAAGAGGAGCACATCAAGTAACAAGGAATTCATCTCATTTCAAAAAGGTTAATGTGGGAACGAGATTGGAATCTGGTCCACAAGAGTGCCTTGAGTACTCAGATGATGACTCGTTATCTAACGACAATTTTACAGAACAAACTTCAACGATACCGTCAAATACTGAAACAGAACACGATGGTGAAATATTAAGAAGATCGTCTCGAGTTCGAGTACCTCCTAGACATTTAACAGATTATGTGTGGACTTTAGATTTATACAATAATAATTAAATGAACTTATATAGTAAGTTAGAATGAATAATTAATTTAAAAACTTTAAGAAAATACCAAAACGAAAAAAAAAAAGGCCAGAATTATATTTACAATGAACTGACTTGGGGGGAATGTAGAGTAGTGAACAAGTTGACGTATAATTATGTGTATATATTATATATTGTTATGTAATTATATGAACAACGAGAGCGTATGTTTCATCGGGATATCCAAACACTCGAAAACAATGTAATAAAACACGAGCGCGAACGCATGTGTTTTCATACATTGTTTTCGAGTGTTTGGATATCCCGGTGAAACACGAGCTCGAGTTGTTTATACGGCTTCTCAAGTGAGTCGAGACGTAACAGAATGTTTTCGTTTCCTGATTTGAATAGAATTCTTAACCAAACATAACGTAGGCCTAATTAGGAATTCTATTCAAGTAATTTTGCATGCGTAATTAAGATATTTGATGAAGACACTAGTGACTTTCATCAAGTTTCACCGGATTATCCAAATGGCATCTTGTGATCAAATAGGTGATTATCATTGGCTGAATTGCTCAGGAATTATTAATGAATTTGTGAAGTACATATATAACCGGCCCATTAAGTAAATACAGTTGGTATAATAATCTATATCTTGTTCAGAGTACTCGTCTTGTTTTGGATCTGCATTCCTTAATATCATGCACCTACAGTATATGTCTATATACGAGTCCCCAATATCAGGCGGCCAATGTTAATCAGCCACTGAAAAGGAATACTTGCGAAAGGCGGCTAATTGTTGCATCACTTGCACAGCAACACCGGAGTGCGGATGTATAGACATATATGTTGTTTAAAATGGGAGAATATAATTTTCCAAATTTCCAGGTTAATGAATCATTTCCGAAATATTTTGTTTTTTTAATATCATGCACCTATATGTCTATACATGTCCCCATATCAGGCGACATACATACATACATATAGGCCTACTCTGGGGAGGTATGCGGACAGGTGACCAATGTTAATCAGTCACCGAAGAGCCTAAACATGACTAGAAAAATTTCCGTTTCATTTGTATTATTTATAGAAAGAATACTAATTAGGATGGACTTTGCATAAAGAATAGTAATGAAGATGAGTACTATGAGGTATAAAGCCACTTCACGCGACATATCATGGCTCACATAATTTGCGAAAAAGGTTATGAAATATTAATGAAGTTTTAAATAAATAAGGGACTGAAATTCTATTATGAATGATATGCCTGTGAAATCATAATTAATGATGGATTGGAAACTCATTTGATGGTTTGGAAACTCCTTAGGATAACAACATAACTCATTATGCAGCCTAGACGAAAACCTTTTATTTTTATTATTTTTTAATATTCAGCGCTTTTTCACATGAAAAGACTGGGCCTAGGTGATTTGGGGGCGGGACGGAGGATGACGCAAGTGAAAAAATAAAAGGCCTAGTGGATCTCCCAACAACAAGGCCAAAACTGCCCTGAAACTGCCCTGGTTGCGAAATGTCCAATTATTGCGTTCTCAAACAGAAATATTTGCAACTTAACAGCGAATTTAAAGCGGTACAGGTAAAATAACTCATTTATAGTACAAACTTACTATTTTTATTTTATATACACGCCTAGAAAATCGGGATTTTTATCATAAAGTTTGAAGTAACAATATTATTATGTTGCGAAAGGTCAAAATGTGTCAAAATATTACTACAAAATAGAACTTAGTTTAGTCATTAAATGTTTTTATAGTTAATGTAATAACTACTGGACAGTATAAATTGCTTTAGTTGTTGGTTTCTTATCAATTTCGGATCACAAATTTATGGGGCTAACTTGAGAACGTGTGAAATCTACTAGGCCTCCACGGGGGAAATGACCAGTGCGATAATTACCAGCCGAGTAAAGGCCTAAGTCTAGGCTGCTCATTATCTATGTTAGTCAACATTTATTCATAAACATAGTCGTTCGCCATCACGTGTGTATTTGGTTCTTGCCAAATCCACCAATTACCCTATTGTTCGAGTCGCGGATAAGTAACTTTCCTAAAACATTCCTATTGGTTAGTTCGACAAAAATAGAATACGCATGTGACGGTGAACGACCAGATTTATGATGCTATTCAAAAATGTGAGTATTCAAAAATGTGAGTAGCGATTTTAGTTTCAAAGGACATGATGAAGTTGCTCTCTCTAATTTCGGTTGGTAAAGAATTCCAAATGTGTGCCCGGTCAAACATGAAACTTTTTTTCAAGCTATTTGTACGCGGCTGTGGTAAGCAAAGAGTACTTTCAACATCTCGAAGTTTAGAATTTGGCATTTCACTTTTGAAAGTAAATAAATCAGCATGTGATTTAGGACCCATTTTATTCAACCATTTAAACACCAGTTTGGACTTAGCCTTTATTCTTTCCGTTTTAAGTGGCTTCCAGTCTAAAGCATCTAAAACAACCAGATGATCTACATCATTGCTCATATTCATTATGATTCGAGCAGCTCTGTTTTGGAGGTTTTCGAGGCGTTTTCATTGTGTTTCACCAAACACATCCCATACTTCACAGCAATATGTAAAGTATGGGCAAACAATAGAATTATACACAGAGACAAATGTATCTTTCTCAACAAATTCTTTTATTTGACGAAGAGCTGATATACCGGATGTTATTTTCTTGCAAATTGTTTCAGTATTATTCTTCCAAGACAAATGCTGGTCAACAGTCACTCCAAGAATTTTGCAATCACATACTTGTTTAATTGGTTTGTTTTCTATAATAAGGTTCGGTTGTCTATTTGAGATACTTTTTATCATTGGTTTAGATCCAATTAATATAACTTCTGTTTTTGCCACATTTAAACTTAGTTTGTTGACAATTAACCATTTCCTAAGGTTTTCTAAATCGGAATTCATTGCAGCTTCAACATCATTTATAAATTCTCCCGCAGCTGTTAGGTTTGTATCATCAGCAAACAGTCGAGGTTTTGTTTTGCTTAGACACTGAGGCAAGTCATTAATATATAATAAAAAGAATAATGGCCCTAAAATAGAGTCTTGTGGCACGCCACACTTAATCAATCGCTCCGATGAAATAGTTCCGTTAACTTGCCATTTCTGAGTGCGATTTATCAAGTACAATTTTAGCAGAGCCAAAGCATCTCCTTTTACGCCATAAATTTCGAGTTTTTTTAGTAAAATCTGGTGGTCGACAGTATCAAATGCCTTTTTTAAGTCAATTAGTACAACCAAGTTAAATAATTTTTTGTCAATATTCATATACTAACTATTAGTACAGTTTAGTAACGCTGTAGCAGTTGAGTGCGATTTGCGAAAGCCAAATTGACAATCATGAAGTAGCTGAAATTTCGTCAAATAATCATATAGTTGGTCATATAAAATTCTTTCCATAACTTTGCTAACAGCTGGCAAAACAGAAATAGGACGGTAGTTACCAGGCAAATTTTTTTGGCCATTTTTATAAAGAGGTAATACTCTTGTCATTTTCCATTCATCGGGAAAAGTGCATAGTGTAATAGCCTGAATAAAAATATAAGTTAATGAACTGGAGATAGCAGGTGCTGCTAGTTTTAAAATTTTACTTGAAATTTTGTCAATGCCAGTGGTGCACTAGAGAGACCACGTAGGAGATCATAACCTTTGTTTTGTAATTGACTCAAATTTTGGTAATTGACTCAAATACAGTGAATTCTGATTTAGGTTTCATAAATTATCATGCTCATCAAAATTGTAATTCGAAGTATCAAGTTTACTAGCGAAGTCAGGCCCAATATTTGAAAAGAATTCGTTAAAGCCCTCTGCAATGTCTTCTGAATTTGTTAAATCATTTCCACTTATACTCAACTCATTTACTTTTGTTGGTTGGTTTTGTCTGCCTAGTAAGTTGTTTATTGTTTTCCAAGCCTCCTTTGGATTTTGTTTTTGACCATCAATTCTCTTGGAGTAATAATCCTTTTTGGCTTTTTTCATTTCTATATTTACTTTATTTCTGGTTTGTTTATACACTAACCAATCTGCTTCAAGGTTTTTAATAATGCCTTTTCTCTTAGATCTATCCCTCTTATTTATAAGCTTTTTGATTTCACTAGTAATCCAAGGGACTTTTTTTTATCTGACCTTTTTTTGTTGAATGGGTGCATGCTTATTTAGTACTTCCTCGAACAATTTCTTCCAAATCTCCCACATAGTGTTTGGATTATCAGCGAAGAAGTATACATATTCCCAATGCTGATTAAGTAAATCTTCAACAAATTTTTTGTCATCAAAGTTTTTCATATTTCTAATTTCCACTATGTTTTCATCGTGTTTCTTAGAAATATGGATTTTTCTGATGGTTCTCAGGCGGATTAATGCTTGGCTCTTGTTTGGCTCTGCCCACGCTTGACTTGATATGTCCGCGCGAGTTGTGGCGCGATTAAACATATCTAGCGTGTTACCATTTGAGTGCGTTTTGGCGTTCGAATGAAACTGAAATTTAATAAATATGAGCTGTTGGATTATTTTATATTATGTTAGATTATAGCAACCAGCAGGGATGAGTAAACTATCAGTTTTTCTTGTACAATTGGCCGTTGTATAGTATGATATATCATATGCGATATGCGGCGATCTTTGAAATTTGATATATAAAGCTCGCTATTGCTGGTTTTATGTCTCAATTACTCAACATCGATTTGTGATTGCTCTTTAGTTTTCCACTCACAGAAAAATATTTGATATACAAATAAGTACCCAGCATATGGTGTAGTATCTGTGACGTCACCGTCACGTGAGGAAGACGAGTAGAGACAGAGTAGTGTTAGAGAGAGAGTATTGTAGTAAACGAGGGAGAGAATAAATCCTCAAAGTTTGATAATATAAACACTATAATTGGCGACGAGGTAAAGTAAAAGTATCGACGTTGGTTGATTTTCATACGAAATGGCTAAGGTCCTTGATTTACCGGCTATTCCACCCTTTTCTGTGTCTGAAACGAGTTCGTTGGCACAACGTTGGGACAAATGGACGAACTCGCTCGATTACTACATTCGTGCTTCGGGCATCTCCGATCAAAACCAACAAAAGCGGGCCATTCTACTTCATTTAGCGGGTGCAGAAGTACAAGAAATCTTCGAGACGTTGCCTGATACTGGCGAGGATTACAAAACAGCACTCGAGAAATTGAATGCACATTTCAACCCGTGTAAAAACATAGCTTTCGAACGTCATGTTTTCAGACAAGCAACCCAACGTGCCGACGAGTCCATGGATGCTTTTGTAACTCGCTTGAGAACTCTTGCAAAAACGTGCCAGTTCGATACAAGTTTAGAGGAAATGATCCGTGACCAAGTCATTTAAAAGTGTGCTTCGAACGCTCTTCGGCGTCGCCTACTACGAGAACAAGAACTAACATTGAACAATTTATTATCGATTTTCTCGTTCATTCGAACTGGCCGATCGCCAGGCCTTAGAAATCGAACAAAAGTTTGAATCATCCACTCACCTCAATTCCATCGAACGAAATAGAGATTTTCAACAACCACGGCGTAATTCTGCGAAGCGTGAAGACAATAATAGGCAAAAATGTGGAAGCGTTTGTTGTGGAAAGGAAAGGCACCGTGCGAAGGATGTCCAATGTCCTGCCCTTGACAAAACCTGCCGACGTTGTGGCAAGTCCGGTCATTTTGCTAGGGTCTGTCGCCAAAAGACCAACAAACCGAAGCAATACAGGGAGAATGCTCGACAGCTTGAACAGTCTGACGATGACTCTTCTGAGAACGAATTAGAATGTTTATTTACTCTCACGGCTCATAATGTGCGTCATCGCTCGGACAGCCTTCATATGTTGGAAATTGAACACATTCCAGCGAAAATGCTTATTCACTCGGGGGCTAGTGTTAACGTCCTTGATTTCGAGACATATCATCGTCTAAAAGCGCGAAAAGGAGTCCAGTTAATGCCTTCTACCCTTCGTGTTTACGCATACGGTTCTACGACCCCACTTAATATCCCAGGAACAGTCTCCGGTCGGGTAAAATTCAACTCTGCAGAAATCGTGGCCAAGTTCGTAGTGGTACACGACCAATACGCTGGTTGTCTTCTCGAGCGACAAACTGCCACTCAACTGGGAATTTTGCGGGTTGGACCTCAAGTTTCGTCCATCAATTGTGCAGTATCTCCCCATTCCCTTCGCCAACGGTATCCCAGTGTCTTTGAAGGAGTAGGAAAACTCACCAATTACCAGCAGAAAATTTCCACCAACACGAACAACAAACCTGTTGCTCAGACCCCACGTCGAATTCCCTCCCACGTTCGCAAGCAAGTTTCCGTCAAACTTGAAGAACTCGAAAGGATGGATATAATCGAGGAGGTCCTGGGCCCAAAACCCTGGGTCTCACCCTTGGTTGTCGTACCAAAATCTTGTGGTGAAATCCGTGTCTGCGTAGACATGCGCCAGGTAAATACGGCTGTAATACGAGGGCGGTATCCCATTCCCACAGTCGAAGAAAGCCTTCAGGATCTCAATGGAGCAGCTGTTTTTTCGAAATTAGACCTGAAGTGGGGCTACCATCAAATTGAACTGGACGAGAAATCCAGAGAATTGACCACCTTTACTACTCATGATGGCTTGTACCGGTATAAGCGTCTTATGTTCGGGATATCTGCTGCTCCTGAGATTGATCAACATGCTATCCAACAAGTTCTACACGGTCTACCGGGGGTTAAGAACATCTCCGATGATATAATTGTTTTCGGCAAGGACAAGTAAGAACATGACAGAAATCTGCATGGAGTACTTGCTCGACTTCAAGAACGGGGACTTACGTTAAACAGTGCGAAATGCATGTTCAGTGTTTCTGAAATAACTTTTTTTGGCTTTGATATTTCTGCCCGTAGGATTCGCCCGAACGCCCAGTCAGTCGAGGCTATTTGTAATGCCCCAACACCCACGAACGCTTCAGAGGTTTGCAGTTTTCTGGGCCTAGCCAGTTTCTGTCGGCGATTTATCCCAGCTTTTTCCACCATCACTTACCCCCTTTCAGAGCTAACCCGTAAAGCTGTGCCATGGCAATGGACCAACACCCATCAATCCTCGTTTGACAAACTTAGGAAAATGCTAACTAGTGACTGTGCCATGGCCCACTATGACCCTGCAGCTCCCACCCAGTTACGTGTCGATGCTAGCCCTGTTGGTCTGGGGGCTATTTTGACTCGAACGCAGCAGAGTGTGGTGAGACCCGTCGCATATGCCAGTCGAACGCTTACCCCAGTGGAACGCCGCTACTCCCAAACAGAGCGTGAGGCCCTAGCAGTTGTTTGAGCTGCGAAAAGTTTCACCTTTACTTATATGACACCACCTTTGACTTGCTTACCGATCACAAACCCCTCGAGGTGATTTATAGTCCCACATCAAAGCCCCCAGCAAGAATTCAACGCTGGGGACTACGCCTCCAGCCTTACACATTTCGCCAGCAATATTCTCCTGGTGCCACCAACCCTGCCGATATATTATCTCGCCTGTCCTTGCCAAACACAGTGCGCCGAGAACGGAACATTGCGGAGGAGTATATCCACTACATAGCCCGCAACGCCATCCACAAAGAAATGCCCCTTACTCAGCCAGAGCAGGCTACGGCGCGAGACCCCGTCCTCCAGCGAGTCCACCAGTCAGTCGTCTCGGGTAACTGGTAGAAAACTAAAGAAACAGATCCCTATTTTTGCGTTAAAAATGAACTGACAGCGACAGAGTCCTTACTTCTTTATGGCTCCCGTATCGTGGTTCCAGCCAGTCTACAACCTACCACCCTACAACTGGAACACGAAGGCCACCGAGGGATTGTTCGAACAAAACAGTTCTTGCGAGAAAAAGTCTGGTGGCCTGGGATCGACAAAGACGTTGAACACTTTATTCGTTCCTGTATTTCCTGTCAGGCCCAGTCCTCCCAGTCATGCCCACAGCCACTTACCATGACAGAAATGCCTTCACGTCCGTGGACCGTCTTGCATGCTGATCTATGTGGTCCTTTCCCTAGTGGTGAGTCGCTTCTGGTTTTAGTTGATTCATGTTCTCGATGGCCAGAAGTTTTCATTTTAAAGAGCACAACTGCAACAGTCATCATCAATCGCATGAAATCGTGCTTCGCTGTGCATGGTCTCCCAGAAGCAATCGTTACAGACAATGGACCTCAATTTGTGGCTGAAGAGTTTGATTTGTATCTTCAAGAGCACGGCATCACACACCGTCGAGTAGCACCTTATTGGCCACAAGCCAGTTCCGAAGTCGAACGGTTTAACCGCACACTTGAGAAGGCCATTCGCGCTGCAAATACCGAAGGAAAAGATTGGAAAAGCGAGCTCAACACCTTCCTACTCAATTACCGAGCAACAGCTCATTGCACTACTTGCAAATCACCCGCTGTTCTCTTGTTTGTTCGAGAGATACGCACAAAGATCCCGTCGTTGAACAACCGTTCGCCAGCTTCAACGTCACCTGTTGTCGACCCCGCCATTCTAGAGCGTGATCGTTGTCAGAAAGCAAAGATAAAGAAGTATGCGGATGAGAAAAGACGTGCAGCACCTTCCAACATAAAGATTGGTGACAAAGTTCTTTTGAAGCAAGAACGAAAGAATAAGTTATCCACAAAATATGACCCAGACCCATATATCGTGGTAGGAACGAAAGGCACAAGTATATTTCTAAAGAGACGAGCCGAGCCCGAGATAATGAGGAATTCCTCAGCAGTTCGCAAATTGCGGCCGGAGGGAACAGATAGTTATCCACACGAAGCCAAACGGAAACCAGACCAAGTGGTCGATACAACAGCAAAGCCTAGACCCCAGCGACAGCGAAAACCTCCTGAATATCTTGGATATGAAAAGTGACATGCACACAGTCCGGAAGAGTAAGACAGTATACGAATTGACAGTTACAAACTCTGACAATTGATATTTAGTTTTGCATGTTTATTGACGTTTGGTTAAGCATTTTCACGTAAAAGAGGGATGTAGTGTCTGTGACGTCACAGTCACGTGAGGAACACGAGTAGAGACAGAGTAGTGTTAGAGAGAGAGCATTGTAGTAAACGAGCGAGAGAATAAATCCTTAAAGTATTATAATATAAACACTATAGTGCTTTCATTTATTTTCGTAGCCACCCTCCCCCTTTACCCTGGATCAGGGAGTATCCTGTTTAGCTTACGTTACAGCCCGGGTACTCCCTTCCCATGCATATTGTATTTTAGTGATAGATAACTCGGATCGCCAAACAATCCTCACTACATATAGCTACTTTTATATAATAGCTAACAATCCATAATATAAACCACGAAACTGCCATGCTGTCCAGTCTAGAGAACCTATTCTATAATTACCATCCTGGCAGCTTAGTCAAATTTTTGCCCGACCCTGTAGAACACGCATTTGTAGATTGCATAACATCTACCTCATCCCGAACAGACAAACAGAGTTTTTTACGTACCCTTTAACTTAACTTAACTTTGATACACAAAAGCTGTACCACAAAACGTACACATGCCTACTTTGGCTACTTTTAGCATAGCAAAGAATTAAAGAAACAAATAACTAAATAAGGCTTATAAGAAAGTTGCACAACGCAAAATCCCAAACGCCTTGATCATGTATAGAGGTCCAATTACTTATCTCTAAAATAGAATATGTACCAGCCTAGACCTAGGCCTTCTATTTTTATTATATATATTTTTAATATTCAGCGCTTTTCACATGAAAAGACTGGGACTAGGTGATTTGGGGGCGGAGCGGAGGAAGGACACAAGCCTGACGCAAGCGAAAAAATAGAAGGCCTAGTGGATTTCCCAACAACAAGGCCAAAACTGCCCTGAAACTGCCCTGATTGCGAAATGCCCAATTATTGCGTTCTCAAACAGAATTATTTGCAACTTAACAGCGAATTTAAACCGATACAGGTAAAATAAACTCATTTATAGTATAAACTTACTATTTTTATTTGTATACACGTCTAGAAAATCGGGGTTTTTTATCATAAAGTTTGAAGCAACACTATTATTATGTTGACAAGGTGAAGCGAAAGCACAAAATAATAATTCTTTTATTCGCAAGACAATCTACTGTTTTGCTTTGAATAACTATATTTGCGAATTGGGAATGAGGATTTTGAAATTATTGTTCAAACATTACGAATATACCATTTGTAAACAATGTACGTTTTTATATACAGTACTGTACGAGCTAATAATATATGTATCCGTTTTATTTAATAAATTATAATTGTATATGTGTTTCTATATTTTACAAACACAAGACTGCTTCTTGGCAAAATTGAGAAAATATATATTAATGTAGTTGTGTATAAGACAAAATTTCATGAAAGATTCTACTTTTGGTATATATTTTGACTCATTTTGTGCTTTCGCTACACCTTGTCAACATATTAAATAATAGTGTTGCTTCGAACTTTATGATAAAAACCCGATTTTCTAGACGTGTATACAAATAAAAATAGTAAGTTTATACTATAAATGAGTTTATTTTACCTGTATCGGTTTAAATTCGCCGTTAAGTTGCAAATAATTCTGTTTGAGAACGCAATAATTGGGCATTTCGCAACCAGGGCAGTTTCAGGGCAGTTTTGGCCTTGTTGTTGGGAAATCCACTAGGCCTTCTAGGCTTGCTTCCTCCGCCCCGCCCCCAAATCACCTAGTCCCAGTCTTTTCATCAACCTCGTACCCAGGCTCTTACCTTCGCACGCCCCCAGCTGCGGAAAGACCCTGGTGCCTGCTGGTCACGTGGCTCCCAGATTTTGGGTGCTACAATAAATTGCTATTTAGGGAGGGGTGGTAGAAATGATTTGTACGTATTGAAATTGTTTCTGAATTTGTAAAATAGTAAAATTCTAACTCTACGAGACAATAATAAAAAGATTTTTCTTGAAGAAATGTTAAAATAACAGATTAATCATGTGTTGCAGCCGAAAGAGTATCATATTTCTCTCAAGGATTACAAATATCTCATATTTCACTGTCACTATATCGATTATCGGCTTAGCAAAAGCACGCCAAATAAATTTTACAAAAAGATCTCCTGGATCAACTTTAAATAGTTCTCGTTGTCGATTATATAATGGTGTACAAGATCAGATACATTGTAAGAATCTCTTCAACAAAACAAATTAAAGAATTTTGAATAACACGGAGTTGATTCATGGCGAGAAACTGCCGCATGTTGATGATTTTCCGTATTTGATCTGCCGATCGAGTGCCGTCCTTGTGAACGACGATTAAATAATACGATTTCGTTCAAGAATGTAATTTCCGAAACACAGAATCATTAGTAAAAGATTCCCGATCCAAGCGATGCCCTGAAGTTTCTCTATCCGTTGCCTGCAGATCTTCGGCAAATGTTGCTGCAGTTGAAAGTCGAAGGCGCAGTTTGGCTTTTATACTGACTTTGTCAATGTGTCCTCCTCGAGTGATGAAACTAGATCTGCTACACCTTTATCTGCTACACCTTTACCCATGCCAATAGAAGTAAGTCAATTGTTTATGAATATCATCCACCAATATACTTTACCGCAATTAATAAATATAGTAATCCATATACGTATGTTTAATAGTAATCCCCATTTTAACCCAAAATGTGCAATCCAATTGTGATTTCTCCATGCCCATGGAATATTTTTTGCGAATATTTATAGAATGGCAGACGCGCGAAGGCCAGTTGATTTCAGTCAAGATATTTAATCTTGTATCAGTGAATTCAGGGGAAACACAACTATAACAATACACGAACCGTCCTGAGTAGATATCTCAAGTGATTTCCATGGAGAAAGAAAATCGACTTGTTTATTAAATATGATCTTGCAAACAACAACAATGGGTCAGATGGAAAATCAGAGACTTTCCATATTACCCGTTGGCAGGATACAAATTATTAATAACATCTTTTGTCGAATAAATAATATACGTTTAATTAAGTACATTTAAGAGTTTGTTAAGGCCCGTTTACACGGGCAAATTGCAAATTGTGACAAATTTATTGTGACAAATACATTTGAACAAAAGCTAGCATGCTAGCTTTTGATCAAATGCATTTGATCAAATGAAATTTGCCAAATAAAATTTGCTCGTGTAAACCGGCGGGGTTTTACAACAGTATTATTTGAAAGCCCTGCACAGTTGTTTTGATGCAGGACCCAAGAACATGGAGATCTGTATGTTAAATTGTGACTCTTGTCGAAGTTAGAACACAACGTTATCAATCGTGTAATTTAACCTGGCGAAATTGAATAAATAAATAAATACTTTCCAAACAAAGAACTTGCTTAGTTGCTTCGGCTTCAGTACAGTATGTTGTTATGATATGCACTATTTAGAACAACGAATTCCAAACAAGCAAGAAATGCAATGAAACTCGAGCATCTCCGTTCGAGTCTCCGTTGAAATTATCAACTTTGCTTCTATGGCCTGGCAGCATGTGAATGACAAAAAGAACACAAACGCGGGCATAATTGGCAATTTGACACGAAGTATTCAATACAAATTATACACTGACAAATTGCGATATAAAGTGCTCTCAAATTACACTTTTTGCAATTCAAACCAATACGTCCGCTCCTTGCCAACGAATTTTACTATTGGAAAGTGGAAGCATTGTAATTTAGATTTGTCCATCCCTCCCTTGGTAAATTCATATCCTGGGAGCCACGTGACCAGCCGGCACCAGGGTCTTTCCGCAGCTGGGAGCGTGCGAAGGTAAGAGCCTGGGTACGAGGTTGTCTTTTCATGTAAAAAAGCGCTGAATATTAAAAATATATAAATAAGACTAGAAGGCCTAGGTCCAGGCTGAATATGTACGTGGTATTGACGTTTAAATTGCAGTGAATTGGTGATGTTTCATGATTATTTTTGGTATCCCCCCTTTGTGTCCCTATCTTTTTTGCCAGCCCCTCCCTTACTAGTTCACAAATTATCTTCTTTAAATATCTTCCCCCCTCCCCCCGTATTAATCACTGCTCCCTTACATGATGGGGCACGCCCACAGTGTAAGAGGTAAATTGCTCACCCACAATTGTGGAGAGATTATTAAAAAAGATTAAGATGATGTTATCAAGTTTAGATTAGTGTCAGATAAAGATTAGATTAGGGTTAGATTAAGATTATGTTAGGGTTACGGCTCAACATGTGTCGCGAATTTATTGTATTGATAATTTCGGACGTGTTTAACAATTTACTTATATAGTAAATTCAAAGGTGGAGCTCATGTTGCAACAGCGAACAAGATGAACCTTTATTCAACTATTAGTAATCGAATTAAAGATATTTATGAAAAATAAAAGACAACACAAGTACGTAAGTTTAAATATATTATAGCGATTTGATACACTTTCTGTACAGATACAGATATTTCACAGCACACTCCCTATCACAGGGCTTTTTAGTGACTGGTTACATTATGACTAGGTAGATGGAACCGAACTGACGTGAAGCAGACCGAGGTAAACTTTGAGCTTACAAATGGCGCTTGAGCAGCTGCTGCTATTAGTCCATACCTCATTAATGATCTGCCTCCAGACCTATGTGCCGAACCCACCCTGTCAACTGTCCCTGTGGGAGGAAACACGGAGTACCCGGAGAAAACCCACGACTTTCGGCAGAGCGTTGACTTACTCTTTTCACATGAGGACTGGGTTCGAGTCACATTGAGAAGTCCTCACCGAGGTTTGAACCAACTACCATAGACACAGGGAGCCCAAGCGTTGATCAGTGTTAGTGTTGTATATATTTTCAGTCTTTACATTGCCTTTTAATTGAATTATAACACTAAATTACACTAATAAGTCATATAAAAATAATACTCCTATAGTCGAACATATAATAACAACATATAAGTTGATTTGTATTTGTATGTTTTTCAGTTTATTTATTTAAGATCTATTATTAGCTTATATAAAAGCACCGCCTTTCGAACCTGACAGCCCGTTCGCAGTATACGCGCGTGGGAGACGCGCGGGATTTGAAATAGGAGGCGGCAACATATAAATTCGTGACAATGGATGAAATTCTTAAAGTTTATCGTATTATGAATTCCCCGAAGATCGATAATTATGCAATGAGTGTCGTGTCGAATAACGCCTTCAACCTTTAGGAATCAATGATATAAACAATGAAGCAAACTCGAATACAACTCAAGGTGAGAAGCCAATTTGTGTCGACCGTAACGGTTTCAATGTTTAAAATTAAAAATTAAATGCATAGATCCAGCTACGAAACGTCGCTATGAAAAACTATAGCAATTAAAAAGACTCTAGTACTTTTATTTCACAAAATTTTTCAATGGCTATGTACTTTAGCCTTAGACATATCATGTGGCCGAATTTCAAGCTAAAATTCGTTTTAACAAGCACATACGGCTTCAAAATAAAACATCGCCGTGTTGAAATTTCATCCCTTGTCTCGTTTCCTATTTTCGGTGGAAAAAAAAGCCGCTTATCCTGCGAACGGACTGTCAGGTTCGAAAGGCGGTGCTTTTATATAAGCTAATAATAGATCGTAAATAAATAAACTGGAAAACATACAAATACAAATCAACTTATATGTGTTATTATATGTTCGACTACAGGAGTATTATTATTATATGACATATTAGGCGTAATTTAGTGTTATAATTCAATTAAAAGGCAATATAAAGACACTATAGCTAAAACAAATAAACTGAAAAACATACAACACTAACACAGATCAACGCTTGGGCTCCCTGTGCGTTAGAGGTGAAAGGCAAATGCGCTAACCACTTCCCCACCGAAGTGTACTTTACTATATGCGTTATTGTGCGTTAGAACATCGAAATATACCATAAGCGAAGTTTCTTAAATACCTTGCTTTGCCTGTCAATTTAAAGTTGCTTTGTTGGAATTTTAGTCATGCTTCAAAGAAGATTTTGTTTTTCTAATTTGCCTGTTATTATTTGTAAAAATTCTTACAATTCAGTTTCAGTGATCAGGTTACAGGAATCAATATTCATTTGATTGGTTCTCTTAGTGCAGATCTTCAAATCTGATTGGCTACGAGACTTAATTTAAGCAGTTTAAAGCACAATGATGGGATTAGTGCTTCAAATAGTGCGATTTGAGAATAACTTGCAAAATTGCCATTGATTTCGAAATGAATGTGATAAGGCACCACGACACGATTATCATTTTCAGTGACTGAATTTAATTTTTTTGTGCATTTGTTCCATGCAAGTATACTAAACCATGGTCTAGTTATAAAGAAATTGGATTTATGAAATAAATGATATTAAGAACGAGCTGAGTTGTTGTACTTGTTATCAGAATATAAGGCCCCAGGGGCAGCTTGGCAAATGCTAATGAGGGCATTTGTATAACCTACCTTATATATGTTGTTTACGCCAGTAGCTCATTCTCAGTCGTGACATTTAGTCGTTCAAAACACTTCGAGCATCACTGATGCCTCGTTTAATTCCTCTTGAATCTGGATCATCTATTTCAAACGTTGACTCAATGGCGTTTGTTTCCTCATCGACTGTGCCCGAAGTGTCACAATCGTTGCAGAGTTCGTCAGATAATATCGTTTACTCGATCGCTGAAAATAACAGTATTTTAGCTCCAGTTTATCCATCTTATGGCGCAGCAGTTTCGTCTACAAGATCATTGCCAAATACTATGTCGTCGTGGGACGTTAGTTTACCGTCGACTTCGCCGTTCCTGTCTCGTTTGGGTTCGAATTTATCGGCTCCTTCTACATTCCCGACATCAGTACCAGAAGGGCCACTCAGCGGTGCAACGTGTAGTCATTTTATTACGCAAAAATATGCAGTTGACTGGCCAGAAGGCGGGGCCTCAAGCCAATACAGCGCGTTTATTGGCCAGAAAATGTAATCGACTGGCTAGAAAGATGGCGGCCAGTGCCACAGAAACTTCAGCTTCCGACGTAAGCGGCCCTTCTGTGTGGATTTTTATTCTGTGGTGTCGTTCCCAGGCCCTTTGCAGAGCGCGGTCGGCTATGGTTACCCTTCGGCATCCCTAGCC